TTGAATAAGGAACATTTGTTTTAATCCAAATGATTGTGGATTTATATATTAGTGCAGTAAAAATATCTCATAGCTTCCTTCTTCAAAATGCAGAGTGAGATCTTGTGGAGACTCATCGTGTAAGACTTAGGGCTGGATTCTTGGCCTCGTTCTGTCTGCTTTGTATTGCTCGGATGGCACAAAACAGTCCTAAAGCCTGCTTAACCATCCCTGGAGATTTCCCATTATAAAGGAATTCCAGAGTGGTGCAGAGCCACCATATGGCTCCTACAGTGCACCCCCACAGTCACTGGCCTAACGGCCATAGCCAGGAGTATGGCATGCAGTGGGAAATCCCATTCTCCAACAATGCCCTACTGCCAGAACAACCCTCTGGGAGCCTTTGTCAGCAACAGTAAATAAATCAGCCCTAAGACTGCTCTAGTTTATGTCAGGGACAACCTCAGGACTGTGGCATAAAGCTTTCTTTGCATTTCCCCCTCCCCCCGACACACACACACACATCTGAGCTGTGCTTAGAGCATTTGATTTATTGCTCAGAATCTAGGCCTTTCTATACAATCCAGCAAACCCAATTCAAAGTTAAGAACATGTTCAAGTGCTTTGCTGACTTTGGGCCTTAAATTGTAAGCTCTCTAAGGCAGGGACTCATTTACCATAGGTAAGGATTTTAGATACTACAGAAACATAAGTGATAAGAGGAAGAAGCACTGGTGCAGGACTGGACCTTTACTAATAGTTGATAGTGCATAGGAACTTTGTGAATCTGACTGTAAATCCATTTTCACTTTGATACAAAGGGAGAATGAAATCTTGGAAACTATAACAAAACATTATCAATACTTTTTAACTTGTTTGCTTTATTTTTTAATAGCGATGAGTAATGATGCTTTATTTAAAGCAGAAATACAATTCTAAGATCCATAGCAAGGAAAGAACTCCTATATGGTTGATATTTATGATATGTATTCATTTGACCTGGTCTCTGGTGTACAAATTATTTGGACAGAAAAGCTGCAAAAATACTTTTGGAATCTCTGCATCTCCTAGTAATCAATTTTTATATCAGTTCAGTTAAAGGAGAGCTACGTGCACATAAGTTGTGAACCCCATTGACTTCAGTGGGGCCACGATTTCGCCCAAAGTGTTACCAGTGGGGAAGTGGTTATAATGCACTTTATTAAAGTACAGTTTTAGCATATTTGTACTTACAGTAATAATTCATGTCCTTATAAGTAGCTAGGCAATATAAAAGCAAATGCTTTTTGTTTTGATAGCAAATTACAAATCTAGTAATAACGGAGTTACATGCAGCATAATTCTAAATTTGGTGATAGCAGGTTGTCTGTTTAATGCAATTCTGTATTTACATGTAATGTCCCTGTACTGTTAGACCTCTTTCTGCCATCTTTACCCAGGAAAGTAGCCCCACTGACTGCTCACATGAATGAAAGTTGCTGGTTGTGGCCATTAATCAGCCAAGAATAAGACCTGGGTTAGCTTTTTGTAAGCATCTAGACAATAATTTTGTAAA